GGCCATTTTTGATGGGCCTCCGATCAAAATGAACCCTAGATCGTCGTATTAACGAAGATTGATGCCAGATAGTCTCTAATTTACGGAGATTCCTCATTTTGGAAAGCAGCTAGGCTGTTCCATTAAATATTAGCAATCAAGACCCTGGTGCGAAATCAACGACTTTGGTCATATCCGACTCTAGTTAGGCTAAAGCACGATCTTTATCTGATCATCGTCGCCAAAGCAGCCTCGACTCCTGAAATCACTCTATATAATGAGCTGATGGATGAGAATACTTTCGGACTTCTACATAAAGGGCTTGAGAAAGCAATGAAAGCTTCTAGCTGAACTAGGACTTGACGCCAACTAGTTTCCGGCTTGTTGTCGACGTTTGAAACAACACTACGCCAAAGGGCACGCTGGATTCGGACATCTTCTACCTGACAGATCAATCCCAAAAAAAGTCCGCTACTTGTGACTCGCTCGATAATTTTGCCAATAGCTATAAGAACACTATTCGCATGCAGAATACTTCGCCTTCGCTATTTGGCCATCGGGGTTACAGCAAATGAGAAAAACACCGATGAGACGCCCTCGGCAATGATTACCACCATACAAGTCATTCTCAAGATGCGACTAGGATTCGGGAAACACTTTATGTTTCTTTCAATACTTCTATTTCGGTAGATTCTACGTCGTATTTTATCGCTTGTGGGATCATTGCTTGGGTAATACAGCAAGTTCTTGGATTCGGTTCGGAAGACAAACCGACACCGAGGCCTTTGGCTATTTGCTAGACAGTAACATGGAATTTTTTGGAACGGACGATGCAATCGGGCTGTGCACCACATACTAGAGTGCCCTACCTAGGTACTAATTGCAAAATCAATCTTGGAATGATTTTCTCTGAGTGATATATATGTCTTATTGTGGCTAATACTCTCAAAACTAACATGAAAAGGGATGAAGTGTATTTCTCCGGGCACTGTAATGTCGACTCTACTACCTATCTACGGTCAGATTTCATGCTCTAAAGTCCCTGTAGCTAAACACCATCCGAACCGTAAACCCATACTACATACGAGACTACGGCGATCTATGATGACTAGTAGATCTAATGTATTTTCTTGACGTAGACAGATATTTGTGCAAGTGAGACTCTAGACCATCTTAATTATTGCTACCATAACTCACCCACACAGGGATTGAATTAAGGAGTGACCCCTTTGATGACTAATCAAGACTCTAGTGGGGCTCGCAACGGAAATATGGTCAACTTTGGAGATCAGTCACCGCCCGGGTAGAGACGGATTTCCTTTATTAGTGCTTGTATATAAGGGAAAGGCAACAAAAAAGCTCTGATAGGTTATTTTGTTGCATATGGATATTTCTTGGGCTTGGTTGGACGTATTATTGGAATTTGGGGGTCGGTGTCGAGGTTTTTTTGTTTTTTTTTCTCTTGCTTGTTCATGAGACAGGCTTTTTGGTTAGGGATATATATCGTGTTGGACGAAATTTCGTTAGGATTATCGGTGGATTTTAGGTCGTGGAAGTGGGATATAGGTTTGTTGGACGTCTGAGTACGGAGGTATTCGAGATATTTTCGAGGAGGGAGAGGGATGGTCGGCACGTTGGACGTTTCTCGGTTACTGTGACATAGAGTATGAGTTAGATATGGATGTATAACAGAATGGGGGATAGGAAGTATGGAAACTAGGGAATACTTAGCAACTCCTAGTATAATCCGATGTCTGAGGGTTGGACTTGATCTAAGCAGGTTGGGCGTTTCTGCGGTCGAATTTGGCGGTTACCTACATAAGACGCAAGCCCTCGGACCCCGATGCTTATCCGGATGTTGGGATTATAGTTGCGGTTTCTCGACAAACAGAGTTATAGATATCTGACATGAGCAAGGGTGATCTGGGTTGGAGTGGCGAAGCTGAGAGTCCGAGCATAGGTAGTAGGGTGGCATAAATGGATGGCTGCGAATTCTGTCAATACCGAAAAGAAGTTAGCAGGAGGTAAATCATTTGGGTTATATGGTTGCCTGGAGTTTTGGAGGTAAGAATTTCGGTCTAATTGTGGCCCATGGGAAATGAAATGCAGGAGAAAGCGCTGATTGCAACGAAGAACGTGGAGGAGCTTGCTAGTTTAAAAATCGAGGGACGAAATGTGTCGATCTAATGTTTCGAGCCGATCGTCGTGTGAAAAATATTTGGAATTAATGAATTAACACGATAATGAATGATTCGAAAATAGAATGGCGATATTGAACTGATGGGACGGCTATTGATTTCATTCAAGCGACATATTTCTGTTAATTTTGAGAGAAACTATCACGGCGGTATAGCTTTCATCGAATTTCTCGAGTGTACTGATCTATGGGAACTTACATACATAAACATAAACATAGACAAACATAACATCTTTACAAAGAGATTTGTTTTGATATAAGGTAGATAGGTCTGAAGGTAGTAGGGGATACGTAAGGATTGGCAGGTTGGCTTCGCTGTAGTTAGGTACATTACAGTCCTGTATTCGCGATGGAATACAATAAAATGTACCCACAACACATATATGTACGCCAATTATTGATAATGTTATGGACTTTTGAGTATTTTGGTTGTATGGATAATGTGGCTATATAAGTTGGTTCTATTAAGGATTGACTCCATTCCCGGAATTCAGATGTACAAACATAATCCACGTCGTGTCAAGGAGCGTTGTAATATCACCCCCATCCCTTCAAATACTTCAAAAATCCCATCACATCAACAGCACGATTACTCGACATAGGGGTATCCATGAAAAGAGACTAATTAGGTAACTACATCAAGATCTATGTCTAGTAATGTAGGGAGGTTTGTTCGTGGTATTATTTCCGCTTGGTAGCTACGCTATAACGGAGTTGTCTATTTCAAGTATTTCTTGACGAGGTATCAAGTCAATAAGGGGTCTGATGTGTTGCCATTCTTGGATGGACTCACGGGTGGTCCCTTCTCCGCGACGCCATCGTATTCGAAGCTTGAATTGGTGGGCGCCTCCCTTTCCCTCTCGGGACTTTCTTGTTGTTGTTGCAACGTATAGGAAGCAGACTTGTTCTTTCTGTGCCAGTGGACCTCGACACAGTCACGAACGAACAGAACAAAGTGTACCAATCTTAAGACGAGTCAGTTGCTAGAAAAAAAGCAGAAAATAAATGAAGTGAAACTCACGAGATGATCATGCCGAGAACACTGGCCATGATGTTCAAGCCTAGCCATAGGTTTCCATTGGCAACGTACCCGGGAACTGGTGTCCCATCCCTTCCATCGTAATAGTCGTGCCATGAATAGGAGTCGAAGGCGAAACAGATTAGAATGGCCGACATTACGATGCCTCCCAGAGAGAGGACAAGTTCGAATCCGAGAGAAATTTGCGGGCGGATCCCGGTCTTTCTCGTCATAACACACATCACAACATACTCGGCGAAGTCGTATACGAGTATTGCCGCGGCCTGATATTGCTTATCTTTAGCTTTCGCTCTACTAACGATAGGTGATAGTGTGATGGAAGGCAGTCTTACCAGAGGAGTGGCCAGGAGCGGGTAACCACTGAAGCCCTTGGGAGCAGCGAACCCAGCCAGGCCTATGCCGAGGAAAGGAAGGCAGAGCGTAGTTGATATGATACGTAAAGCAAATCTAGCATTGTCCCATATCGCCTGGTTTCGTAGTTTAGGTATCGTGTGAGGAGCGTCCGGAACAGCATATTCGGTATCCGCGATGGAGGCAGGTCTATTCGAAGCTGGAGGAGACATCGTGAAATTTCCAAGTTTGTTATGGATGTATGGAAGCTATACACACTCGGATGATTGTTACACACTCTTATGTATCACTTCATTCAACCTCACATTCTACAGTCTCTTTAATGTATGCATCGTTTCTTGCTGCCTGAATACCTCAGACGATGGAGTAACACTGAAAATACCCAACTGGGTAGTCGCCAATACGAGTTTCCCAGCGTTTGAGATCTGCGCCGAAAGGATTCTTTGGGTTATACAAAGTCTGTTTTCGATCTCGAGCCTCCCCATTACGATGGAGATCCATTGTTATGATTGGCAACATGTCCGCCCGCACCTACTCTGAACCCGGCAGTTCGAGTCTCCAGCCACGTGAGACCTATCAAGTAGAAGTCTGACGAGAGCATTTCGAGAGCCTTGGCTTGTAGATCGTGGTTCAGGCAACGAAATAAACTGAAAGCTAACTCGACACCCCTGGATAATGGACGTGCTGTTCTATGCATTGCCTGCATGACAGGGTAGCCGTGGCGGCAGTGTTTTGCCCCACACTCCATTTGGTGATATTATCTTATGGCGTCCGGAAATGAGGCCATGGTTTGGGGGATATATCGCCATTTAGCAAAATGTTACGAGATAAGCGCAAGACAAGTTTTAGTGAATTTTATTAATGGTAGCAAGACAGAATGAACTAGAGAAGTGAGTACATTTTTTCTCTTTTTTTAGAAAAAAAAGTCCCGTTTGTGAATTGAGTATTAGTGGTAAAATGAAGAGTGTGTGGGCTGGAAAGGAAGCAAAGTGCTTATTTTGATCTTACAGTGGACCAGACCAGCTCACGGCTCTCGATTTAGCGACCGGGCGCTACGTTGATGGATACCATTATCTCCATATTCACGGGCTTACGGTCTGGAAAAATTGGTTATTTTAGCTGTTGAGACGGTGAAGCCGGCATTTAATATCGGTGCCTGGAGAGAAAATCCAGGGATTAATTGCGGTAGTGAAGTCGGTGCCCCGTCGATTCCTTCTTTTAGAATCGTATTGATTTGAGTTTGGAGAGAAATCGGTCGGTGTTGCCATGCGAATTTCGGTCGCAGCTTCAAAAATTTGGAAATATGTGGATTAAGTACAAACAAGATTAGTCGAAGTTCAAACATTGAATCTCGAGAAATGCAAGGCAGAAAAGAGATCAAATTACAAGATAAAAAGAAATGTTAATTCTGGAATCAATATTTGCAAAAGTAAATGCCTCCACACCGGATTGAACGATGGACCTCAGCATAAGCTTGTAAACTGGCTTACAAGTGCTGCGCTCTACCACTGAGCTATAAAGGCTCGAATACCACTATAATTGCTGGCATCCACTCAACAGATGCTGAGCTGTTGCTAAAATAGCACTAAGTATTAGACCTGTGGAGACGGTCAGAAAGTCAAGGGTTCCACTTCTACATATAATTATCGCGACAGCAGGCAGTTGAACCTATTATCACTTCGTACACAAAAGCTTAAAGGAATTGCGTGATTCTAAAATGAATAGCCTCTACATTATTTAGCTGTTGGTCTGGATGTTGAAGTTAGGACTAATCACATTTGACAAGATCACAGGCAGTACTTGGTACTACAGGATTGACTAACCCAGGTAACTCTTCTCGTCATTATCTATCTAACTGCGTATTCAAGTACGTTCAGAGCAATTACAAGTATAGCGATAACTAGAGCTCAAGATAGCGACGGGGGATTCCATGGAAAGGGTTACCTAGGATGGGTGCGTCCGAGGAATTTGGCTGTCGGATACACAAGATGCAGTATAGCTCAATCTTGTCAAGATGAACGACTCGTACCCCCGTCAAGGTTTTCCTACTGGAGAGAATCCGTGGAAGCTATAGTTGGGCAGAAGACCGCGTGCGGAAATGTTGAATGGGTCTTTCGACCAATCTGTTCCATTTCGGCATGGGGTCGGAAACGCATCGCCGCGGCGATGCTACAAGATCAAATTCGTTTCGGGTATCAAGGCAATGTGCATCACACTTCTTGTGCGACTTCAGTCGAGCAGGTGAAAACGTATCGCAAACCTCAGCGCCTTCCTCACATCAAAGCAATACCGGTTACTCGGATTATACAAGGTCCTTCGTCTTCTTAGACGCTCGCTCGTATACGAAGACGTAGCAATCTTGTCGCATCGGTCGCTTCAACCGACGGACTGTCCATACCAACGTGCTCATTTGAATATACGACGACCACCAGCTTTCACGGAAAATCGTTCGGTTCCATTCTGTACCTGTTGATTCCATATCATCAAGCTGCCAAACGATCCGTTATGCTCAGCGGCTACTTTGTAGCGTCTGTATGCTTCACGAAGGTGGTCGGGTCGTAAAGGTGCCTCTCTGCGGTACTGTGATAGCTCGCCTGTAGGTTCCAGTTCGTCGTTGGGTAGTTCGGTTTGTTTCTCGCCTAGAGCCACCCATTCCTCTTGGATCTCGAGTGCGCTTTCGATAAGATCGCCGGCGTATTGCTTCAGAACGGATTGCATCATCTGATGAACGTTGACTGGGCAGGATTGTGATGTAACGCTGTTGATGTGCTATAGAAATGATTAGTCGTACTGCGCCTGAAGAAATTAGCAACGCAGGGCATGTGATAAAACTTACTCGCTTGACATCTTGAGGTCTGAAAGTTGAACGATGCCATGTCTCGTAACGGGCGAATTGGACAGGATCGAACTGTTCTTTCAAGAAGGCATTGAGTTCCAGCTGCTCCTTGATTTGTTGTGCCGTACGAGCATTGGAGACACTGGCCATGTTCTCGGGAATTTCAAATTCTTCCTCCTTATCCTTTTCTCCCTCGCCGTCTTCGCCGGCGTCGAGGCCACTAGCGATGCTCCGCGCAGTACGCCCGCGACCTCCTGCGACGCTAGGTGATCCGTGTCGCATGGCTTCGGCAGCGGCTTCGCTTGCGCGCTCTGCTTTCGACTTCCTACCTCGTTTCTTCCTACCAGGCGCGCCGCTCGCTTGGCTTCCGCTAACAAAACTCATGTTATCCACACTAGGAGATCTCTTGAATGAGGGAGAGTAGTTTCGGCCTTGGGCTTGCGATTCGTCAGGTGGGAATGATGTTTGCCGGAGCGGATGCGCTGAACTGGTAGAAGCCGTTGACATGATAGATGCTTTACGTCGCTTCATCGAGGGTGCTTGGGCTGATAGATCAACGCTGGTAGAAGCGCGCTTCTTCGATGGTAAGGGTGCGCTAGAATATGGGGGAGAACCCGCAGGCGAGTAGGCGTGTGGAGGAGAAGCCATTTTGTTCAATGCGCCTTAGTTTAGTAAAGTGCACTTGAAATCGTTGACGGCGCGACGGATTCAAGCTAACGCGTTGCCAGGGGACGGATCGGAGTTGGTTCAAATGGTTATGGAAGACGACGGATTTGATGATTGAAAGTATCTCAGATTCGAGATGATCGCGTCGTGAGAACCGATGGTTTGAAGAAGTAAAGAGATGATTAAATGAATTCGTCGGAACTTGAACTTGAAAGTGCTCGGTAAGGAAAGTTATTACAATTACAGTGTTGGGTGACGAGCACGGAAAGAGCTTAAGCCACAAGGTCAGGTACAAAAAACTAAATGTCAGCCACAAAACAAAGCCACATAGTCTGCGATACATAGGTACTTCCATGTACCCTTGTACTGTACTTATTACATAATGTTCGCCCTGAACTGTCCTCACACTTTATTTAGTGGAACTGGAGGGGCAATTACCCCGCGGACTTTCAGAACACCGCAGAAGACCCTATCAGACCGATAACGGCAAATTGAAGAGTTACATAATACTCGATACGTGCAAGCTCAATTAAATTTTGCTAAATTTTACGAACTAAATGAGCTCGAAGTTTACCGCATTTTTGGTGATGCGGCTTCTGATTTGCATTGTTCAAGATTCCTAATATTCCTACATAAGCACGCTGGTTTTTCCCCGAGTACATGTGCCTCAAAGGATCGATCTCATTGGGAAATACAAGTTTTGTTTTTCCGCTCCGCCTATTGACAACCGTAGATTGCGGGTTCAAGTTCCAGGTTACTCATATTATCTCATAACTCATATTTCGTAACTCGACCTACATAGTAGAACAATTAATCCATTCAACTTCCACAAAATCACCGAGCGAAGAACCCCTCCAACCACAACCTGTTGCTTAAAGCCATACCTATGCATTCTATATCCGAAACTCCAATCATTCCCTTGCATTAATTAAACTTGCAGCCATATGGAAAGCAAAATGGCGCACTTCACCGAATCAAAACAGAATAATCGAGACTTAGCAGTTCCCTCTTCCAGCAATTCTACCACTGGTGTTTCCGACGTCGACGACATTGTTAATGGCAACGACAAGCAAGCGCGCGATGGAAGTAGAGATTCAAGAAGTGCTAGAAGGAGGCAGAGGAAGAGGAGAGCAAAAGACGGTGGCATATCCGAAATAAATGGTCACAACAACTTATCGCAGAGGAGAAACAGCATAAGCAAGGCCGCCAGGGATCCAAGGGATGAGCCTCCGAAGAAAAAAGTTAAGAAGGTTAAGCCGGCAGTATCCGAAGGCACCGAAACACGGTCTCCTAGCCCCGTCATTGACTTTGATGGCTTAAGCCGCCCGAGTACGTAAGCAAAAATGTCCGATAGGATGCCCTCGCTGACATAATTCAGGTCGTGGAACTCGAGAACGACTCGAGGAGAGCTCCGAACAAGCAGCTCAGAGACTTGAGAAAATGAAAGCGGCTGTCAGAACTATCCTAGAATGTGTTGGAGAAGACCCAGATAGAGAGGGTGTACTAGATACGCCCGCGAGATACGCCAAGGCAATGTTGTTCTTCACTAAAGGGTACCAACAGAATGTCAAAGACATTGTCAACAACGCCATCTTCCACGAAAATCACAATGAGATGGTTATCGTCAAGGATATTGAGATATTCAGCCTTTGCGAACACCACTTGGTTCCCTTCAACGGAAAGGTTAGTCTAAACCAAATCAGGTTACAACATCGCGCCTCATTCTAACCTCACATCAGATGCACATTGGATACATTCCGAAAAACAATGTCATAGGCATATCAAAGTTACCACGTATCGCTGAGATGTTCAGCCGTCGGCTGCAAGTTCAAGAGCGATTGACGAGAGAAGTTGCCAATGCCATCATGGAGGTACTAAAGCCTCAGGGGGTGGCGGTTGTCATGGAGTCAAGTCATCTTTGCATGGTTATGCGAGGAGTCGAAAAGACCACCACAAGCACCATCACCAGCTGCGTGCTGGGTTGTTTCGAAAAGAAAGAGAAGACGAGGAACGAGTTTCTGAGTCTGGTTGGACTGAACAGAGGATACAGGTAAATATCAACGAGGTCGACATGACGTTAACGTATATATACGAGCATGCATATTAGGCGTTATGGGTCTAGAGTACGGGATCTCAACATCAAACTCGTCTTGGGAATGGAAGGGTAATCGCATTTAACATTAGAGGAACAGCAAGCTCAACGCCTCCAGAAAAGGGTAGCATACGGTGTTCGGGGGTAAAATCAATCTTCAACATCAACTTTATATATCATCAACTGCATAATACACTTACGGAACAATACCCTGATATGTATTAGTATCTTTTATCACATATCCGTCTCAAGCGTGCCATTTTTCATGCGACACGTGTATTGGGTAGCCAAGAACCTCCCATACTCAACCATGCTAACATCAGGGTCTTTTTGCTAGTTCTTATGTCCCCACACCATACATCCCAGAAACGTGCCGACAACAGAAATTTACTCTCCGATATAAATTCTCGATATGAATATATATAATTGGGAGGTCCGCGGATGAATGTCGCATACTTATTCGCATACTTATCGAGGCATCCAATTTGTAAGCGAAAGTTGACAATATCTACTACCCTGAGGGACACCACCAGGGAACTGCTTTGGATATTTATAAGCAACGGTGCATTTGTAGAGTCATACCGGCTTGACAAGGAACATCGGACACGAACGCGGTCCCGTATATCCGGATGGACAGAGCTGCTCCTATATTATCATTTCTATCCAGCGATACCTCCATGGAGGTCCGACGTGATGACAAATGATCATGGGGTTCGGTCCGGCGCAAAATGCCGATATGTCCATGTCCAGTATGACAGTTACGTGTAATGCAAGATGCTTGCGTGCTTCAATATTGAAGTGGGACGATTCTGCCGACATATAAACTCGTCAGTGTCGCATCCTTCAATACAGCTCATTCGTCACATCACATCACATCATATATCCGGTTATCTCCGAATCAACACCTCATCGCCACTCACGTATACACA